ACACACACACACACACAACAAGGCTATGGGGGGTGCAGGGCTTGGTTGTTAAAATTTCAGCATTGAAGAAAAAAGGTCCCCATGGGTAGAGTGACATAATTGACTTCCCAAAGAAAGCGAGTCTAAACACTCCCAATAAGTAAACTAGGCAAACTTCACAGTCGCTCTCTCTGCCACTACTTAGATCAGCCGTACCAGACAGCCTGGAGAAAAGATGGCAGCTCTGCCAGCTAAGAAAAAGGCATCTGCTCCCATTTCTTTGTGTGTGTGTGTGTGTCCGCCTGTCCAACCGCCCCCTCTCCCAGTGACGAGGTACCACTTCCTGGCCCAAGCCCACTCGACTGGCCGCCTTCCCATCTTTCTGCTGTGAGAGGCCTGCTTTCTGCTCTGCCAACTAACGTCTAAAAAGGGGGACAAGAAATAGTTGTGGGGAAAGAGAGAGAGTTTGTGTGTGTGTTTGTGTGTGTGTGTGTTTCTCAACTGCTATCCTTTGTGGGGCTGAGTTTGAGGGTTCAACATTGAGAGCAAGGCCGTTTTGGTTTTCGACATCCATTTATGACTGTTATCATGATAGTAAGTAGAGCAAATAAAAGGCGCTGAGTGATGAGGGCACTGAGATGAGAGGGCAGATATCATGTGGGCTTTTGGTTACGATTAAACATTTTGAAAAAACGTAAACCTAGTGTAGGACTGAGCGATTTGAGGGAAATTGCGATATTTCAGACTAATTTTAAGTTGCAGTTAAAGGCAATCTAACGTACCCTGTGGATCGCTCATCATAAAAAAGTTATGATAATGTTCAGTGTTTCTTCCTAAAAAATATCGTGTATGAATTTCCTTCCTCATGAAACATTTACAAAGCCCTTTTTGAAATATTTAACTCCTAGATCGTTTACATCCACGTTTGCTAGCGACCAGCCTTCTTCCTTACCTTTGCAGGTTCATTACGTTCATTTTGGCACACTATTGCCGCCAAATGTCAATCAATGAAATAGCAACCATCATTATGAATGTGTTATGGTCACGAAGCTAATTAGTTCCTAACTGCTTGGATCATTTATCCAGAGAAAGACTCGACACAGTTAAAGGGTCCAGTGTGTAACATTTTGAAAAATCTATTGGCAGAAATCAAATATAATATTCACAAGTATGTTTTCATTAGTGTATAATGACATGAATCATTTTTGTTTTTGTTACCTTAGAATCAATCTACCATGCGGTCTACAACGCTTACAAAGTAGCCCCGTAGGGACAAACTAAACACTTGCTATAGATTGGGGTGTTTTTCGCATGTCACAAGGTCACTGTAGTTCCTCCTTCATGCTGGGAAGGGGAGGGTGGAGCGATGGAGTTGCAATCTGTAATTACACATCGCTAGATGCCACAAAATCCGACACTGGACCTTTAAAAGTCATGTCTGTCTATGTCTACATTTAAGTTTTTTTCCTTATCGCAGTTTTGCAGCAGCAGAGTAAAACCACCACCAAATGTCTCTTCTTGCTTAGTTATCCCAGTCATATTACCAATGATTGGTTAATGTTCTTGCTATTGTATTATTATTGTGATATTTGATTTGCCAGCAGTGGAAAATTCTATAACAGGAAATCCAATTAGAACAGTTTACTAGAAACACTTCATGCAGATTACCACTAAAGAAAATAATTGGTGCTGAACTTCACATACCAAATGGTGAGATTTCAAGAACCTCTGCAGCCTATATACAGAGGTGTGTAAAGTAAACATATATGAGGATTGTTACATGTACGCTCAGATCTTTACAGTCTGGGAGAGTGAGAGATGTGGGCTGCTATGTGTCAATGTGTAAGTATGGGTCTTACATTCTCATGTTATATTTGGATGTGTGTGTGAGTAAGGGTCCTGCTGTATATCTGAGTTTTGTGTGTGAGTAACTCAGGGAGCGAGCTGCGGCTCGTTTTAGCCCACTCCCCTCTGCTGGAGTCTACGTCAGCCGATATCTATCTATGGCGGCTCGCTCCTCCTCTGCCACCCCCATATACAGCCGGGCTCAAGACACACACACTCACACACACACCACTTCCTTGGGTTTGGATGCTGCTTTACTATAAAAGTACAAGTACGAGGAGAGGCACTAAAATAAGCAGATGACCGGCGGCATCTTCCTCAAACAGCAGGACCATCTGGTGCTGGAGATAAACATTTAACCTGAAAACTTCTGCTCTCAGTGACGTGATTCCTGTCAAAGTTATTGCAGATTAAACTGTCTGAAATAACTTTTAAATTAACTCAGCCGCAGTAAAGCACTTCAGCTCGTTGCCGGTCAGCGAGTAAGCCAACCGCCGATTTCAAGTGTTAAGAAGTTACTGTTCGGTGTCAGATTTTATGTCAAGCTTACTGACTCCCAATTCACTCTTAGTGTGAGTGAATCACAAAGAATTGCGGGATACATAGCAACCGTTGCCAGTAGCCTCTTTCACTGAATGATGCTGACAGCTTCCAGCCCTCATTCAGTGGCTAGCTGCTCCTTCAGTGGTATTTATAGCCGCTATTGATCGAGACAGATTTGGCTGAGAAGGAAAAGCAGCACTTGAGATTTAGCAGCGGACTATAGAATAGGCTTTGTGTGTCTGAGTGTGTGTGTGTGCATTTGGTTGCGTGAAAAAGCGCACTGTATGTCACAGTCATCTGCAGGGAGAGTGAGGCATCATGAGGCGATCCCTTGTTCCTTATACACTCTTTTTCTATACCCCTCTTGCCATTTAAAGTCCAATAAATTGTATATTAAAAAGCCCTGTGAGTGGCTGCATTGTCCTTGCAAAACTACGTACCCATCAGCTTTAGTGGTCCCTACACACTTAACTTGAGTCACTCAATCAATCCTAGCTGGTGGCTTGACTTACTGTACTGCAGGAGGCTACTATCTGAACACAGACTTGCTGGGGCTTTCTGTTTAGACTGCTGAAGGATGACTAATTCCCTATTTAAAGGACTCAGGGTTCGACTGAAGACTTCTGGCATACAGGCAATCAATTGTAGATGTAGAGGTGACGCAATTCACTTTCAGAGGAACTGTAGGTGGTCACTAATTGGGATAAAAGTGTGTATGTGTGACTTAGAGAAGGAAATGCAACGCAATGTGTCTCAAAGGGGAAAAGTTCCCAATGTTGTTCAAATATTTCATACTCCATTACTTTTATTCATGGGCGATTGTAATCTAATACACACGAACATCTCCTCACTGTCCGCTAGCTTTTAGCTCGGTGTGTGTGCTGTCGTACACAGCCCTGGCTCTGTAAAGGGGAAACAAAGTGGATTGGACCAAACCACACAACACTAAGTTATTACAGCAGGATCTGTGTGTCAGGGAACGTTAAATTACTCGCCCTCGGACATTCAGCTGATGTTAGCAGGAGAGTTGTGAGTATCACTGGAGCTGGTGTGCTGGCTCTGGGAAACCGTCTCATCCTTTCTGCATGTTAAGTGACAGCTTGCAAACCCAAAACATAGCTAACGTTAGTAACGTTACTTGTTGTTCCAGTATATCATGATTCCTATCATCGCATACCCACCTTTAACAGTGATAGTTGCACACATACAGTTATTTTTCCTGTCTGGGTAAGAGGTATGAGGTATGAGGCACAGCTCAGCACAATCAGCAGCAACAAAAGCTTCAAACATGAAGGTCCACGAGCCCATAACAGCTTTTGCTCAAAGATGAATTGTTTCACTTTTTGTTTGATATTTGTGGATATGTACAGCAAATCCACGGAGAGAAGACAAAAGTAGCTCGCCATCTTTTACTACAGACATTGTGTCTAACGCAGGCGCAGATAATAACGCTAATAACGGCTGTATTCATCCCCATTGTTAATGTTATCAGTGACACCTGTGTGTTCAAAAGGCCTGACGAGAGAGAGGTCTATTCACATAGGTTGGATAGCGATGCAATTAAATCGGCATTATGTAAAACATGTTCTGTCCCACAGCTCGACACAGCCATTATACGTCTGCAGGGGGTTGATAGGTTAATGGTCAGTAACAATGATACAATCATTACAATGTCAAGTGATTCAAAGTCTGACTTTTGCTAAAAAAAAATTTTCAGCTAAAAAGTAAAAGCTGTATTATTACTGGACATGAGATATACTTCCTCTTCACTAGATGTCTGTACTGGATTTTCTGTCCTCAAAATAGACACTTTTCTCACGGTGACATTTAAAATGACGACGATTAGAGCAAATTCGCAAAATGTGCCAGATAACTGTCGATACTGTAATTTCTTGGTTGCATTAATTTTTTTGTGGAAGACTTGTGGAAGCTTTTTTTCCCCATTATTAACTGGTCTGCTGAGTACTTTTTTGATAAATCAGTTAACCGCTACAAAGTATTAGGAAATGGATCCAAAGGTGACATCTTCCAATGAATTTTCTGAACATCAGCCCAAAACTCAAAGATATTTAACTCACTTTAAATATGAAAAAGAAAGAAAGCAGAACATCCTCACATTTGGGTGAATTTGGGTGATTTTGGCTTGAGAGAAGATTATAATAATAGTTCCTAATTATCTTTCCATCAATCAACTAAACGTTTCACTGCCCCCTAAAATCAAATGTTGAGATCTTCTTTGTTACACCTCTAATCTTTGTTGATGGTTGATAGGTTGGGTCAGTCTTTCCTTTAAGAATATATGCAAGTGCAGCTTTAATCTTCCACACTGCAAGCTGCAATGATAATACTAATGTACAGACATCCCAGCTGTTTCTCACCTGGCAAGTGCCTGGACCTTGGCTGTATGTCTCTCCTCCAGCTCTGCCAGCTTCCTCTTCAGCAGATCAGTTTCCTGCCTCAGGCCTGCTGAGTGCTCCATCTCCCCGTCCAGCAGACTGCGAAGAGACCTGTCAAACATGAAGCAGACCACAAATGTGTCATATATTGGTATACAAAATACAGTTTTCTGTCCCAATTACAGTCAGGTGATACATCTTGTACAAATCTAATCCTTGACATTCTGGTAATGTTATTTTCCTAAACAGTAGATTGGATAAACATTAAGCTTCTTTAATTGCAGTAATAACTGACTGCCTGAATCACATTTAGCTCTGATTTAAAACACTTAATCAACACACATCTGTGATTGCATTGCTGTTTTAATTCCCCAAGCACGAATCACAGTTTATGGTAAAAATCAAAATACGGCTTGGCAGGAGATTTGCATTTATTTATGATTAATCACAAAGGTGTATAAAGATAATATTGTGTTTTTTTTGGTCATTACAACTGAATTTTTATTGTACTGTGCTTTGCAGCTTGTTCAAAGGTTCCTTTTGCAGCTGTTAAATGTGTAAATCACAGTCTCTGGTGGCTTATTGCTAAAAACACAACAAAACCGTTTTCTGCCCCCAAGTCAGCACAAAAACAGCCCTCTCATCCCAGGATAAAAAGAAAACAAGCTGACACAATTTATACAGAAAGGTCATTCAATATCTTCCTTCAGTCTGAGTGTGAGTACGTGTGTGTGAGTGTGTGTGTGGTTTCAGGGGTTTGCGAGCAGCAGATAAGGAGAATACATCCCAACGTACGAGTTTTGTTCCTCCAGCTCGTCCTTCCTGTTCATCATGGCGACAATGGCCTGACGCAGCTCCACTGCAGAGGACAGAGACCAGAGTGAGATTTCTGCACTGGAACAAACACATGAAATACACACAGACAACACACACACACAGACACACACACACAGCAATATGCATAAACTAATAACGCAAGCTTTGAAATGCAGAAATAACAGAATCCCACTTTGATGCCACACTTGCAGGATTAATGCCGCGCTTTTGTTTCATCCTCAAGATGAACTGCTTTGATAAAATCAGGTTTTTTTCCTGCTGAAAGAAGTTATACAGAGTGATATCTATCTGACTCACAGAGAACAGTTTTATTGCTACAGTAAAACATGCTTTTTGGGAAGCTACAATAAAACTCCGAAGAAAGAAACTAATCCAAGATAAATGTAGGGGAGGAAAACACTGGCTAAGTTTTGTATTAAACTATTCGTCAAGAAAATGTGAAACCCAACTCGAATTTGAAATCACAGCCGAGACAGCCGAGTACACACCTACCGAATGTGCAACAACACAATTATAAGGTAATTATAGTCAGCTGAAAAAGTGTCATTTGCTGTGGTAATACTATCTTTATATTCACTTCATACAACCGTCAGCAGGACAAGAAAACCATCCTCTTCTTGGCCATTTTACCACTCGGAACCCGCCACAGTAGCTGAAGCTCTCTAATGAATTCACTGATCATTTCAGCTTATGTTTGCCTGGGCTTTCACTGTCTGATATAAAGTAGTAAGTTCTCTCCTGGCAACAGCTAAATAATATATTTTCAAAAATATATCTCAAAATTGTTAACCCAAAAATTATTTCTGTAGTAACGGTTTCTCCATTTCTAAAGCTGTTATGATTACTGAACTCTTGTAAAGTGGTGGAAGTAAGCTGAAGCCATAAATCAGCTGTTTTGAAAATACTGGAATGTCTGTAAATAATAAATAAATAACTGTTTCAAAAGATAGCTTGTAGAGTCATCTAGTTACTGAATTATGTTTCTTGAAAATGTGCAGCAATTCTATCTGTATGGGCAGGGTGATGATATTAAATGTTTGCTTTTCCACCCTGAGAAGAATGGAATGCCCACACAGTGTATTAAGAGAAGATCATTAGCAGTTTAATGACGGCGCGGGAAGAAAGGTTAAAGCATTACCAAAGTACCAATTTATGCTAAGGGAATAAGACAGCACTATACCTAATGGAGACATTTCACTCATGGTGGCAACAGAGGTCAATTCAAGGGGTCACCAAAGTCAACAGGCTCGGTCGAGATGAACTGCACCTCGCCTGCAAAGAAGACGAGGTCAGGCAGCGGCAACAGGAGGCGCCGACAGAAAAAGCTGCAGTCAGGTTTGACCGCTTCCAGCAGCCTTTAGAGAATATAGAGGAAGTACTATTTATATCCTATTAGATCCATCTCTAGGCTACCTGTCATTTGCAGAGCGCCAGGCATTATCGTTTTGCCCACGTGTGCATGACATCAGCAACAACAACTCGAACCAGCACCTTCTGTGCAGTCCTGGCTCATCTCAAACACGCCTGTTCTGATACATCATTTAGGAACCATGTCTGTACAAAACGTTGTGCCAACACATTAATAACATAAACGGTGGTATCTATGCATCTAATGAGGGGGTAAGCTGACTGGACTCTGGGGGTACGTCTGACAACCAATGCTGGGAACCGCTGGGTCAGCTAAAACAAGTGATTTGACCGTGTCGCTGTGGATATGAGGACGCTGCAATGAAAACTTTCACTAATATCAGGCACTAAATAATCAATTAATATAAATAATAACTGCCAGGTTAATCAGCAATGATTATAATAATTAGCTGCAGCACTACGTGTAATGTTTTGCTCTGGAACCTGGTCAAATCAAAACATCAGATCCCAGATCTGTACCAGCTACAATCAAAGTCAGCGTGGTGGTACAGGGACTCCGTAGCTTCGCTTGGAGGTGCACATGAAGGTTTCAAAGCCCCTAACTAGGCTGTTACCAGGATTTCCAAAAATAACAACCATGAGACAAGGAGTTAATCTACCCTGCACTTCGCATTCCACCATTTATACACACACACACACACCCA